AAAAGCCAGAGGCATTGCCAGTATCTTGGTGGTTTCATGCATGCCGTATTGAATCTAACTTTATTACACAAGGGAAAAAAACCCTTTCAATTAGACAAAGATGTATTTCAGTGTCAAAACACCAAGGAAAGAGGTAAAGGGATAGAGTTCTTCTACTGTCGAGTCACTGCTTTGAGTCCAGGCCTGGTTAGCTGCAAATACACTCCACAGCCGTGGAACATCTCAGCTGCTTATGTGGAAAACAGTTTGGTTCTCAGCAAGCAGTACAGTCCGCATCATGAAGTGTCCATGACATCCCTTCATCACTTTGCTGCCAGTCATAAGTGAGAGAACAACAAATGCATGGACTGTGAGGATTCAGCTCTTTTCACCATTAGAATACTGTCTCTAACAGTAGATATATAAGCTAGGCACTGAAATTTAAAGTAATTTTTTTATGGAGCACGTGTCCTGTCAATTGAGACTGATCATATACAATCCAGGAAGGAATTTTTTAAAAATCACTTCAATTAAGAGGCTATACCCAGCCAATACACTACTCAGAAAAGCAAGAGCTGTCACCTAGCCTTGCCCAAGGATGGTCTCCACTAAACCTTGGGCTCAAACTCTACATGTACAGATTTGGAACTTTTGAAGAAAAGGAAGGCAAGATCACAGCACCTTAACACGCTCCTTGTGTACAGCATGGTGCCTACAAACAACCATCTCCTTCCTCTGCCTTTTCCAAATCCTCTGATTAAAGGAACAGGAGGAAAAAAAACCATCCCAACACGGCAGGAAGGCCTTTACTAAAAGGTGCATTAATTTGGTACGGCAAGCCAACGAAATGATTAATTTGCTGCTCTCCTTCAATATTATGTTTACACAAGTTGATTATAGCACTTAATTACTAATTTACCCTGCTCAAAAACAAGAGTGCTTTAAATTTTTAATGAGGTGAGGGAAGGCTACATTCCCCAACTCAACAGGGAGAAGTCATTTTATTTCCTCTTTTGATTTCCCAAGTTATTACCATTTCTAAGGAAAAAACTATCCCCTCCCTGATCTTTCACTCCATCCTTGCTTTTGAAAATATGGAAATCAACAAAACGCTTGTATTAATTTCAGTCCGTGACCTGACAGGTAATACTTTGGAAGAGGAATAGAGGATCAGATCATCAGCTGAAGCACGTCCATTGAAATAAGTGGAACAAAATTACACCAGAGACTGCCTGATCCAGAAATGGAAATAGGCTAATCCCCTCCAGTTCTGTCAGCAGAAATGTTGACTATATCCCAGTACTATTTATGGGTGTATTTATGAAATGTTGTCTGTTCACAATTGCCAGTTGGTCCATTACCAAGGTTGCAGACTAACTGTTGCACTGAAGAACTTCTTTACATTCATGACAGTCTGTAACATTTTCATTGTTAAGAGGCGAATAGACTCCATATCGCAAGTTCTTCCTGGTTGATCTTTAGGAAACTTGTGTTATCTGTGGGTTTTGTCATTTGATTTTATCAAATGTGCTATACCACCCAACAACTTCCTTAGACAACCGAGAGATGTCCATTAAATTAAGCATAACCAAGCAGTGCACAAACAAAACTCTTCTGAGTTCCTTTAGTACAGAGTTGTAAGTGAATCATTTCCCCTGCACCATCATAACTTCAAACCCCTGTCTGCAATATATCTCCCTCATAGTTATGGACTCTATGCCTGTTATCTTGAAGGCGAGCCAGGTGACCACGATCCACATAGCTTCTAGGGCTGCTTCCAGGGACGCAAATTGTACCTAAGGGGTACATCACTTGCTCAACTGCTACTGCTGCTAAATAATTCGGCTAATTCACATTTGGTAATTACCTAACACCTCTTTCTGTAGAATCTGCCTAATTTTTATATACCTCCAATTTGCTTTATAAAAACAATGAAAGAGCTTTTCCCTATCTTTTTGCAGGATATACCACCAACTTGCATAACAACCAAAATTAACAAAGAAAAGAGTACACCTCCCTTAAAAGTCAATTTTATACATGAAAAATCTTGTAGCCACGTAGACTCTAATTTCTAGCTCAACGTTTTACACCAAAAATGATTACGGAAAGCTGATTAGAGAGTTACCAGTAAAATGTATTATAGTAAATCACATGAAGTTTCTTTTCTTCCATATTGGCCAGTAAAAATGACCCACATTAAGATAGCAAATCCAAAATAAATTTGGTAATCTGGTTTCATACAAGTGATTTTATTAATTGCTTTAATATGCAATTAAGCAATAGTCAGTGGGCTGCAGGATTTTATAAGGCAGTAATCCTGTTCCCTGGTGTACAGCTTTGTCCCAAAGAGTAGGCTATCCAAAAAAAAAAGAGCTGGATGATTGCCAAACCAAACAGCACCTTCTTCCCATTTTCAATTACATACAAGTGAGGCAGAGTAACGAGGATATACTGGAAACTTTGACATTTATTTATTGAACATTTTTACTGAGAAGGAATTGCTGGCTTGCTAAACTGGAAACTATATTTTTACTACAGAAACAATCACATAGAAAACCAGGATCCTGCTGCTCAGCATGACAGGAACAGCTAGAACCAATAAATTGACCCACCTAAGCCAGCAATGTTAAGGTTATTTCATTCAATGCAGCACATATATCAAAAATCCAAAACCCAAAAATACAGTGTGTATTTCAAAAATCCTTATGTCATACTATTTGACACAGCACTGCCTTCTGTGACCCAGCCAGGCCTGTGTTACAGCTCATAGGCACAACAAAACCACTAAAAGAAAAAGGGCATAGCAGTTGTATGGGGTAAATTAAAAGATAACCCAAATGGCAAAAAGAAATTCAGAAGATTTTCTCCCCTTTCCAGAGGTTCTAGAGACTAAATAACCAAAAGATGAAATGAGAAAGAACTCACCACACTGCATGTTCTTTTTTCTTTTTGGATAGGTCAATTGTTCTAATTCAGTTTTACCACAGAGGAGAAAAACGCAGGGAGAGTAAATGAAGAGAAAAATAGGGAAGTCAACATTCTTTGAAGCAACAACATATGGTGGCCAGGCATGAGAGAGATGGAGGTTATAAATCTTTCCTTGTTAGAATTACCTAAAGATGAAACTGCAGCTTCAAGAGGCTTGAGCTTTTAAGACGACACTAGAATCTAGCAAATTAACTTGCATGGTTACAAATTTTGCAATAACCTTAATTTCCAATGCTTTTTTGTAAAGGTTCAGCATACTGAGAATTTTGGTACTAATATAGATGTGGTCAATAGAAAGCATGAAAACCTTTACTCCACAAGTCACTCAAAATAGAAATAAAAAGACATGAAAATTACGAATTAGAAGAAAACGCTGCATCCTGCAAATAGTCACTGCTATAATATAGAACGGGAAAAGAGATAGGAGGTACATTGGTGCTTGTTTCTTTGTGAGAAGAAACTTATTTAGGGATACAAAAGGATAGAGGAAAAGCTCTTTAGTGTTCCAGTCACTATGATCAACTGCCCAAGAAAGTGAAGGCTGAGAATCCTGTTGTCTCACGTACACTTCTGACTGGGTTCATCATGCAGAGATGTATAGGTAACTAAGCTGCCTGTCCTTGGAAAAACCATCCTCCAGTGTGCCTCTGAAGCAGATACCTCCCCATTTCCAAATCCCAGCGATGGAATGCCACAGGACTAAGCATCAGGATAGAACAGGAATATGAGAGTAACAGCAACCACCACAGCCACATGCTTGACCCCTAAGGAAATACCATCCAATTCAATGCACTTCTTAACTGTAAAGCTAAATAAAGCCTAACTCTAATTACTATATAAGGTTACCATAGAGTTGGGTCTTCCCTAGTTGACCCATCTTTTCCTTCCTCTGTTGAAAAGTGTTGCCCTGGTAGATTCTAAGGACCTTGTCTATGTGTCCAGATTTTCTGAGCGAAGAGCAGACCGCCAGAGCAGCGGCTCTGACTCAGCTGCCCCATGCCCCAAACCCATACACTGACAGAACACAAAAGCAGGTCAACCCTAACACATAATGTACGTTACATCCCCAAAGCATCAGATTTTGCATGCAGACACAAGAACAGCCCTGCTCCATAGGCTCACCAGCTCCCTGAAGCATCACTCGCTGTGTACATACTACACAGCACACGTGCACATACTTCTGTAGGAGATTCCCTGGCAGAAGCCTGGCAGCACTACTGCTATTGCTGATCACTACTGGGTTTCACGTGCCTGTTCAGCAGCCAGTCCTTTTGTCAGCAGAGCTTGTTAAAGCCGGACTAAGGTTATCAGAAGTGATTTTGAGGGACCTTGGCTTTGGGTGCTATTTGCAAGTTGTCCTAAAGATGCTTGACTTTTAGAAAATGGAGAACAGCCAACCCATGAAAACCAGAGAGCTTTTAAGCGTTTTGATTTTGACACTGAGTGGAAATGTCCAAAAATCATTCTGAGAAATGTGACCAGTCACTGGGACAAATACAGGAAAAAATTCCCCCTCAAACAACTATAGACATGAGGAAAGAGGTTATTGGTAAAAACCCCACAATTCTCTCCTTTACTATTAGACTGAGCAAACAAAGAGCTTTGGAAAGCGCAATAATTAAGCACAATCAATCTATCAGAGGACAGGTAATAATCTCTATTATTTGCAAAGACTAAAACGATGCTGAATGTTTGCAGCAGCACCTCTAAGAAACATTTGTTTTGGGAGATGTGTTGGAAAAAGCAATGTAAGAGGTGGCTATTGAACCGCAATGCTAGATATGTATTCATGCCTCCCTGCTCCCCGAAAGACATTTATTCAGTTTCTTGTTTCTTAATCCCATGTAGTTGAATTCTGTTAAAAATATTTTTACATAATCTAACATATTTGCTGCATGATACAACTGATATTGCCATAGGTGGCACCTCTTTAATGGCACTCTTGTGAACACACACTAAGCAAAAGCCTTAGCGGGTGGTTTCTTCATACTGCAGAGATGTTGTGGCATCCTGGACAGGATTCAGGGCCTCACCTGGCTGCCACTGATCACCACAGGCAGTACGATGGAAAGAAACACGGTACAAATGCCCAGTGGGATGTATAATAGCAGTAGTTTCCAAACTACTTTCCCCTTTTCTGTTTCAGAGATATCCCAGGGAAGCCCATGGGCTTGACCTGTAATTCAGTGAAACAAAAGGAAACCCTCCTGCTGACTAGCAAAACCCTTGGAACCAGACCTTACACCAACAGCTGCCGAAGTACTGAAAAAGGCAGAGGCTGTGTTTGGGAAACCAGACTCCTTATGCAGTGCTGAGGCACTGGACTGCAATTTGTATTTATTCTTTTTCTTTATGTACTGGTATTAACTTACTTGATTCAAGCAGAAATGGGAAGGGAGCATAAGGAATCATGAAGTCAGGCTCCTGACAGTGACAGGTAAGCCCTTCGGAGAAGTTTACTCCAGGAAGACCCACAGAACCTGCACTGTACTTATGAGAAGCCAAAAACCAGTCCCATAACCAAAGAGGCAGGTACCTCCTGACATACCATAACAGAAAAAGAGGAAACACTTTTTAAATTAAAAAGTCTGTGACATTGCTGGTTCAAAGGATCTAGTTTCAACAAAAACGATCTCTGAAGGAGTGTGCTATGCAGACTGACATGTGTGTATGTATAAAATACACATATCTGTTCTGACATTATTGGATGTGCTTCTGAAATATTTTTATGTATAAGGGCAGGGTTAAAAACTAAACGTAGATGAATACACCAAAATTATATAAAAACACATCACAGAAAATTTCACAGCATTAGATTTTTCTAATGGTTATGAAGACAGACTTAATAAAAGCACTTTCGAGATGTTCAGTTATTGCATAGTAACATCTTAAACTTGGAATGAAATATCTGTATTTGAAGGCAGAAGATTAATAGAAAAGTAAGAATTAAACATGAAGTCCTGTCACCAAAAGTTGCTACTGAAATTACATTTATTAAAAGAAGTCCTCCTTACAAGCACTAGAATTATTAAATACAGATATATATGTTGTACTACATATTTGTTGCAATGGGATTAATTTTAATGGAAAAAATCTTATGAAAGGAAACGGCTCTTCCTGCTAACCTACACAGCAGTGTAGAATATCCACATTTGGAAATTTTACATTTGGAAAAATGCCAAACATGGCCCAGTTCCTCAGCTTACGTTGAGCTGTTTATTGATTCCAGTGGAATGGCACCAATTTAACTAGGTTGAGAAGCTGACCTCCCCATTCAGAAAATACATTCATCTAAGTTTTTGTGCAAAATTTCATCTACAAATATCTGTGCCTGATGTTATAAAGGAAAGTGTATCTAGGGACCATTCTGATAAATAATTTTGTCCAACTGGATGCAGTGTACTGTTTAGCGTCCTTGTGTAGCATGAGGAGAGGACATGTCTTATACCAGTGGAATTGCAAGGTGGGAAAACAGATATGATTTCAGACATTCAGACCCTTCTTCAGGTTTTCGTATACTACTGCTGTTCATATAAAAGCAGCTAAGTCGTGCTTTGGCTGATCCACTGAACATAAAAGCCTTACTGCTACTTTTACAACTGTTAATGGATTGAAATAACATGAAAAAACATGAAGTTCCATCCTCATCATTAACTCTGCATTCACTGTGGGCAAGACAAGAGGTATAGGTGTGTCATTTTTTACTGCAGAAATAGCGCTATGTTGTTTCTTATGTTTAACATTCTTCAATATGAAAGAAGGAAAGTAGGACAAACATAACTGAGATGAAACTGTGACCTTCTTGCAGGATCAGAGCCTTGCCAAATTTCCTTTTTGTCTGTAAAATTATATGGTCTAAATTCATAGACAGCAACTTCTACCTGCATGTCCCTACAGTCAAAAGACAAATGAATCTTCAATACACCTAAATAACATACGGAGTTAAAAAGAGGGTGGAGAGAAAACGATGCTGGCTCTTATCCGGCTGTGCAGAAGGTACAAACTTTTCCACTTGAATTAAAAGTTTGTGCATGGTGCCAAATGTCAAAGTGCAAAACACATTAAAAATAAAAAAAAAAAAAAGGAAAAAAAAAAATCGGTACTGCATACCTGTATAGATGCAAAATCCCCAGAAGCACAAGCTCCAAGAATAGCAGCACCCACCAAAACAGACTCCACTTCTTTGGACAGGACAACAGGCTTGCCTATACAAGAAAAGCCATGCCTCAGTTAGGAAGAAAAGAGCAGTACTGCACGAGCGGCACAATACATAATTAAAGCAAAAAAGACAAAGAAAAAAGGAATCAAAAAGGACTTGAAAACCATGTTCACAAATCCATTCAGAGCTACAGTCTACCGTAGATTAATGTAAATTTCTCTGCTCTGTGGTTCCACGCTCCAAGAAAAATGCAGAATTTAAATAAAACAATTTCAGCAAACTATTAATGCAGAACATAAAGCATACAAAGAACAAATCCCCAGATCTTTCACACCGGCTATTTATCTCAAAGGGCTTGGTATAAACCTGTTACCCACACCCTTCAAACCCACGTGCCTATTAAAAGTTGACCTCGAGGGAAAAACAGGGTGGTATGCTTTTTGTTTCTTTTGCAACTAACAACAACAACAAAGATGATTGTTTGTGTTTGTTTTTAAATACATAGGCAACAAAGCCAGTCTGGTTTTGCTGGAAGACATGAAAATATGACTAGTAAACTTTCACAAGCTATGTATGAAATAGTAAGAGAAATCTTGCCCTCCAAATTATGCCAGATACTTGAAAACAAGATTAAAACACTGGAAAAAACAAACAAACAAACAAACTCAATATATATTCTGAAGTAGAACTAAAAATTACTGTTTCATCACCCATGAACATACTTTCCCTCAGTTCACACAAAGATTTCGAAGACCTGTATTACTAGTGTAAAAAGAGCCAGAAAAAGACTAACAAAAAAAAAAATCAGCCTGCTTTCTTAATTTTCCTTAAAAATCTAAAACAATAGCATAACTCTAAATACTTTTCTAGCTGCAATTTAGATGCTTATCCTCACTAAGCCAAAAAATTTAATATTCCTACAGTATTTGGCATGTGTCTGTATTTCCATTACTGAGATAGTTTCATTCAATGAATGTTGATGCAAACACAGTGGTGGGAGGCAAGCTTCCTTCTGTGAATAGCCTCAATGATATTATGCCCCAAAAAATGCTGCTCCTGAGAGCTAACTGCAAGATTAGAAGGAGCTGAAATTTGGATGAAGATCTAAAGTGAGCCACGAACAACTCCTACAGAGGGAAAGGCAAATACACACTTTTCAAAATGAGAAATAAAATTATTAATATAAGGAACAATTATTGATACAAAGCAAATTCACCTTGCACCCCAGGCATCCAGTTATATTATGCTAACTTTGCACTGTTCCACCAGCGTAAAGCTCCTTACGACCAGCTTTCAGTGAGCGACATAAAGGTGCCACGGCAGTCTTTATGCCATTTCTGCCTACACTTAGCACAGGCAGAGTGACGGGGAAAGAAAGCGGATATAGTAAGACCTTGTTGTTTGATTGCTGGAATGACTGCTAACAGCAAACGAGTGTAATTACAGCATCCTTTAAATTTCTCTGACCAAACCAACCCACCTGAAACACATTAGTGTAGGATCAATCACCTGAACATTCCTCCGGTTCAGATGGACCACGGCTCAGGACCTGGGTCAACTCGGAACAGAAAATCTAAAACTCAAGCTTATGGCTACACGGCTGTTTGCCAGGCGTTGAAGCAGTAAGCAATTTTCAACATGCTCTAAAATTTACTGCACATTTCCCGCATCATCAGAATGAATACAGAATTCTTACTAGGCAAACAAAAAGATCAAGATACTTTTTAAGTGGCCTGCGAAATTATCTTTTGGATGTCTGCATGGCTGAGTCATGGGCATTTGCAGCTAACAATAATATATTCAGATTTTTTTCTTTTCGGGAAAGAATGGGGGATTGATCCTGGAATGTTAGTTATTTTATCTGATAGGCTCTAATGAGTTCAACATAACCAAGAGCATTTCAGTTAGATGAACTCTGACATCCCTTGTCAGTCACTGATTTTACAAATGGGGGAGAACTCCAGGCTGCAAAAAGGCCTTTTTGTACTGAATTGTACTTGGCCATTAGTTACAGTCAAAGAACTTCTGATTACATTTTAATCAGAATACCTTTTCACAGATCTTTTATTTTACACATTATGAACCGGCATCCCAACTCTACATGTAGCTGAAATTCACCTAAAACATTTGAGTTATATAAGGAAAGGCATGGACTTGACAATATAATTTTTCACAAACAGAAAGCTTCACTTTGACTACAATGTATTTAGTGAATTTTAAGGTCAATAGGCATTATGCTTTTTGAGTCTCCATTTCCGTTTTTAACTCAGGGAAGTATATAAAGCATATCTTCATCTTCCCTCCTGCATCAAGGTTATGAAGTGTGGTTTGATGTTAGGGCAAGTCAGATCTCCAGACCAAATGCCCCAAATCTGAGCCTTAAACTTTATTCATGACAGCTCAACTGGTCTTAATTTGAAATATACCCAAAACACACATCATTCAAAGTCCCTCTGAAGTCCTTTACACTAAATTTTGTTATTTTTTCCACATTTTTTTAAAGTATATTCAACTGACTCACAGGTGTGCTAAGATGTCCAACACACACAGGCTTAAGGGAGACCAAAAAAACTATGCAAGCAAGCCTGAGACCTCCTCTTGTAATGAACCACACACCCAGGACCTTCCACCCATCAGGAATTCTACAAAACCAAATGCAACACCATGCAGGAACAAGGATCCAGGAATTGTCCCCTAAACCATATTAATGATACAGACATGGATGCAATTCAGAAAAGAATTGTTCTATATAATGGATACAATGCCCAGCACGAGCAGGAAGTGTCAGAAGTCCAAAAGAATTCAAACAGCATTAAGCTAACAGAGGTTTTAGTAAAACACATCTTAAGCAAACCATGCTCACAAAATGTAGTGGGCAGTACCCTCATCTAACGAACGTCTTGTAACCTGACTGAATGGAATAATTTCTAGAGAACGTTTAGAATAATTTTTAAAAATCTGATCGCAAGAAACATCTCTGACATGTAATTTATACACATTAGTTTTAAAAATTTCATACAAAGTTTTTATATTTGTTCCATTGCACTTCCCTAAAAAACCTGCAAGTCTAAGATCCGCAGACTGGAAATCATGCTGGAGGTTTCTCCTGAAGTCTGTTTTCTAACAATACAAAGTATGGAGCTTTGTTTGCACCGCATCTCTGTGTTATTCAAATGCCTTTAAATTTCAGGAAATTCAGTCTTGCAGGAAGTAACATTTCATTACACCCTTTTTGGCCAACAAGCAAAATACAGTTCTATATAAAGAAAGTATTTATTTTTCCAAAGTATTTAGCCACCTAAAATAAAGTAGTTTACACTCCTTTCCCCGCACTTCCTCTAACTTACCAGTAATGTCAGCGTGCATCTGCACAAAGAGAGGGTTCTTGCTCAGCCCACCGCACAGAAACAGCGTGTTGATATGATGCCCTGCAGCCTGCATAGTTTCCAAAATATGTCTTGTTCCTAACTTCAAAAAGAGGGGGGGGACAACAGAAAAACAGATGAGCACAGGAGAGCAGCCACAGGAACAGATCTTAAAGCACAATTTGCTAAAAAGAATGATATTACTATGATACTACTAACTGCCCCTACCAGTAACCCGAGGGCTGGGAACAGACCTGCAGGGGTACAGCCTCTGCTTAGCTTCCAGCCAGTAGCAGGCACTGTAATTAAGAACTAGAAAAATCAAACAGATGGCACAAAGAATTGGGAAGTACATAGGCACAGCATATTGCAGTAAACATCCTGGGGTTGGCTGAAGAAGTGAAGATGTACCAGTACACAATAATACAGGGAAATGGGGCTTACGGGGAAGTACGGACAAGGGTGAAGACAAGGATTATGAGAAGACACAGAAATGGGCGCCAGGAAAACCTGACGGCAGTGATAAGCAGCTGATGTGACCAAGCACAGCAGAGTATGGAAAGCATTTCCAGATCCAGAACTAAAACCTACATGGCAAAGACATCCCCATCAAAAACTTCCATTTACTTTGTATAACAGCATCTGAAAATCACTCTCAGTAAAGAGATTTCAATTCTGAAGCCAAATAGCAAACAACAAAAAAAGGAGCAAATAAAAAACTGTATTTTCTGTCTTTTCAGCAAAAAGGAAAACCTGAAGAATTTTGTATTGGTTTAACTATTTCTCTTGGCCTTTGCCCTATGCAAAATAAAATGTTCCACTTCATGCCTGGATTAATTGAAACATCTAAAATGTAGGCACATTTTTAAACTTTTCATTTACAGTCTCCATTCTGAGAAACTCAAATTAGAACAGCTCAGTGTTCTGCTCTGTGAATGATGAAAGCAAATGCTTTGCCATTCTAAAAAAATCTTTTCTCTTTTTGTTTGCTTTGCTTGCCTCCAGCTACTCCCTGAAGTCAACCTTCTCCTTCTTTCCTGTTGCAAGAACATTTTCCATTTCTTTGACAAACTATTTGTCCAAAAGTAATTCCTAGCACTTTGTAATACCTGGGAAGTTAATTTTGAAGCTCAGACTTGACAAAATGCCAAATTCAAGCCAAAATTTTGCCCAAGCCGACTCTTTGTAGGTAGATTCCCCACAGAACACGATCTGATTAAAGTTTTCACAAACTGACGTTTACGTTTTCTTTACGCTATGCTGCAAGTTCATTAAGAGGTCTGCAGCCTGCTATAAACCCCTCTTCAAATAAAAGCTACTGAAAATAGAAGCTAGCAGAGTGCATCAGACTGGAGACATTTGCTGTGAATGACTGGCACCACTCTGGATAGGCCTTCAAATATATTATGGTTTTTCAGGCAAGCGGTTATGAGGAACTTTGGCAGCCGCAACACCAGCTGACTAAATCCATCGCTTCCCTATTGACACAGAGGGCTAATTTCCAAATCACACAGCCACAATTTTAATTATGGAAAAATAAACTGCTCTAAAAAGAGTCTGTCTCCTCAGAACGGGCTTGACGGCCACAATTATATCTCTGATCATGTTCTCATCCGTCTAACTGTTGCATGGCATTTTGCAGTGAATAGTTAAAAGGATATTCTCTTTCACTACTTCTGAAATTCAAATTTATTAACAACTTCTCTCACAACATACACACGTCAAAGACCCTGAGAAAGAACATGCTGTGAAAATTATTTAGTGTTTACCTGCCTGGAAAATTGTATTCACATAGCAATTTAAATTAAAGCCAGACTTATTTCACTGTGGGTGGGGGAGAACTAATTTAATCCTGGATTGGAGAAAATGCAAATTGAGGGGCTTCAAATGCAAATTTTATATAAAAAGAAAAAAGCGTCTACTGCTGAAAGGAAAACGAGAGATTAACATTCTGTGGGCAGGCCTACACTTTTTACAAGATTTTTACTTAGGTTTGAAGTTTATCTTGCGCCCACTGAAGACAGCTAACGTTACAGGATTGGCGCTGTCCTGAACTAGAACTGTTTCCTTCAACAAAAGTGAAGCTGAAATTGGGAGCAACAGAGTATGGGAGGAAAATTAAATTTCCTAGGCATCACATTAGCAATTAGTAAATATATCAAGTCAAAACCAGGTCTACTCTGTCTACTTTTTAGTTACTGTTTCAATAGTGGTTTAGGAAAAATGAATTTCTGTTAACTTACAATGAAAAGAAAACTACAGTATGGCCTTTTTATATTGAATCTCACAAGCAGAGCAATTAGCTATCAAAAAGATATGCAGATGCTGAATTTAGTGTTCAACACAGTATTTGCCTTCTACAATAAAATTTGAGTTGTATCATATAATGAGATAATAGGTGACTTTCCCAGGATTTCCAGCAGAGAACGTTTCCACTTCGTTAGCACGATATAATAACGGAGCACCTGTTCAATACTGGAAAGTTTCTTTCAGGGGCAGTATCAGTCGCTGGCATTGTTTAAACTCTTCTAGACATTCTTATTTAAATGGTGGGATTATCCTGAAGCACCAGGTAAAACCAAGCTAAATTCATCATAAAAAGGATCAAAACTCACAACAATGAATTCCAGGCTGGGGTTAAGTTCCTGTTATTTGCTGAAGAGGGAGGGTTAACACATAAGATGTACAATTCATAGTAAATTTACAGCAGCCGCCCACCCTCTATAGCCCAGATGGCTGACCCAGCCTAGAAAAGTTGTTGTTTAACCAGTAGAGGAGTTTGGAAGTTTTCCAACTGAATGGAGTTTTGTCAGGAAAACTCGCCAATTTATCAAACTGTTAATGTTTTGCAAAAACACTTCCAGTCCAACAAACTTTAAAAAAAAAAAATTCACAAAAAGGATGTTAAAGGAATGTCGATTCCAGTCACCAAATGCCTGGGGATAGCATGCCCCATTGAAAATACCATGCACCAGGGTTTAAAAACAGTATCTTTGACCCAGGTTTTCACTTCAAAATAGAACTTCTTGTGAACTGGAAATCCTGGGTTCCAGAGAAAATTAGGGCAGAAACAAAAGTATTCCAATACAATTACCCATCTCTGCATGTTAGCAAACATCAAGGACGTTTTCATAAAGACAGTCCCTCTGTCTGCTTTTACAGAAGCACAGCCACGGGTTGGAAATGCTACACAGGAGACAACTGCTTGCCTTGCAGCAGGGAAACCGAGAGAGGAACGCGATCTGGTCTCTTCGGGCTGTAGCGTTCTGAACTGAATCACAGACCCACTCCGACTCGACTCGCTGCAGTACAGAGTCCTGACTCATCTAACAGGCAAGCAGGGGAAATCCATGGATTTAGGAACAATCTGAAGCTGAAGCATTTTAGGGGAGCGCAAGTTCCTTCATATAATTGCCACAGCTTTTTTTTTTCCCCGCTCTCTCAGCTTCCCTCCAGTCAGCCCATGATGTTAACACTACCCCATATAGTATCAGCCTTTTTCCACACATCTGAACTAGAGGTAAAAGCTCCATTTACAGAATTGTAATCAGGAGAAAACTTTTTAGGGGAACATTTTCTCCACAGTCTGTCGATTATCCTACAGTACGGAGTAGTCACCAATGTGGGTAAACAGTATCTTGCTCTTTTAAGAAGTCCATTAAGTGAATTCACCTATTATTAGAAATCTGTTTAGCAGAAGGGAATGATCAGTCCGCCACAGAACATGAGACAATTAATTTATTCTTTTATGCATTTAAAATGGCTTACTGCAATGGCTTGAATCGTGGCCAAGTAGATAAGGGCAAGTTCATCCAGACCCCGAGACAATGTTAGTCCAACAACCTGTGCAAAGATCAAAAAGAAAATGTACAAATCCAGCCAAAGTAAAACTCTATTATTTTCTATGGTTTCTTGTTGTAACAAGTTTTAAGTGTTAATTCTAAGTCCTGCTTTTGTGAGCAGTACACATAATGTTATGTTAAACATGTTATTCCTGATCTGGGAAAGAACCACATAAATTGTTCTTGCTCTTGCAAAAAAATAAAGAACAAGCAGCATATTGTATGGGATTAGAGATAGATTAACTCTGACAGTTTTATGTTATGACTCAGATATTGCTCGTGAATGTATTTAACGTAATAATATGAAAATGCTATTACATAAAAATAACCTTTTAAAAGCATTTCTCCCCCTCCCTTCCAAGCACCCTAACACTGAAACACAATTAATAATTAAAGACTATATCTTAACCTCCTTTACTCTGACATAAATCAATACTGCACTGTAGTTACTCTGGATTAATATCAGCATAGGCAAGACCTGAATGCAGCCATAACTGCGGCAGAAAAAACCTGTTGCTATTACCACTATTTGCACACAACCATCATAGCAAGGAAATTCTGATTCTGCTGCAGCATATAATTCTTTCATAAAATAATACAGCTATTATTAGGACCCAAAAATATATGTAATCTATTTTTTTTTAATGTTTCCCTCATTTGTGGTTTAAAGCGTGTTGTACTGCTTACGCCTACCCTTTCCTACCTCAACCTCAAATGCAGCACATTTTGGTGCTGGTGAGTAGCTTGAAATACTCACTTCAAGGACAATATGGCATTTTGAAATACATCTTCGCATTAATCACCAGGTATTTCGATATCATCAAATTATATCCTTATGACATTCTTCTGTTATGGTCCTGTACAGTAACAGTGCAGTGTGCTGTGACCTAGCTGATCTACCACCATGAAGTTCAGTGAAGAGAAACATCTAAACGTTTAAAGACGGACTGAAAATCTCCCCAGCAGAGGTTCTCTGGTGAGTTTCCAAAAGCTGCTCTTTCTGCTTCCAGACTGCAATGCTCTGAAAATTTCTTTGTACAGAACACAGTCTTTCAAGCCCTCTGAGTTCCAAAAGTAGCATTTTTTAAACCGCAAGCCAGAATCAGATCAGCTTTATCTTTGAACAAAGATGTATGAAGCACCATGGTTGTATATTTTCTATCATGAGAGCATCTATGCTCATTTTTAACCATAAGCAGAGGAGCTTTTCAGTTTCTGTTTAAATTTACTACCCAACAACTCTAATACAGCACATTTACTGAATATTCATCTGTTTAAATCAAGCAATCTCTCCTCAGAATATTTCCTTCCTTTCCCAGATAGGCATACCCAAACTTGTGTTGAAATTCATTGCAACAGATAGGCAAAATTCAGTAGACAGGTGAGTTAACAACAGCAAGGACTGCTAGTCAGTGCTCTGAAATGTGATTCCTAGGAAAGATACTGGGAGACACACAACACTCCTCATATTTTTAGAAAATAAATGTGGCTGTAGTGATATCTCAGCTACAATGATCTCTGGTTTTCTACTGTAACATTAGCACACTTTGAAATGCAGCAAGAAACCCAAATCCTATGGGATAGTTTAAATAGCTAAGGAGGAGTATGCTCAAAATTGAAAAAAAAAGTTCCTTCCAAGCTTTTTTTTTTTTTTTTTTTACCCTGTATTGACCTTTTTGCAAAGACAGGCTGTTTCTTACCATGCCCTTTAGTGTCAGATCTGTTAAGGGAGATCTGTTACCATGGAAATCTGGCCAAACATGTAAATCAACAGTGAGGAAACCCACAGGCAAAGATTTCTTAATCAGATCCAGGTGACTGTTCAAGTATGTATATATACTGTGAGCACTAGAAGAAAAACAAGTTGGAGAAAGAGTGGGGGAGGTTATTCACCAAACATAAAACATTTGTAGTATCATCAAATGCAGAAAACCCATCAAAGAACAGCAAATTCCAAATCTAAAACACAGAGGGAGGAAGGCAAAAACGAGGGCTTGCCAAGCCCATGGCACTGCAGAGCGCGGGCAGTGGCGATGTCTATCTGCACATCCCTTCAACAGGCCATCTGAATTCCTCGGTTTCACAGAGTGAGGGCAGATAATGGCAGTTTGTGAACTTGAGTTTATACATTGACTCCTATGGGTCCCTAGACGAGCCAGAGCTGTTTGAGATTTTGGGGGCTGATGATGCTGTGCTGAAAGGTGCTGACACTGTGAAAGAGAAAACTGGAGAAAAGCAAGCTGAGAAGAATAAGGAGGATTCCAGACAGAAATGAAAATCACACTCCTTTACAAATGTTTAAAAATTTCTCTGATTAATCAATAGTATTAGACTTACAGCTTTCCTTTTTTAAACCATAATTATTTCAGGGTGTGTTATGATTAAAATGCAGCACTAAGGGTGGAGGAGAGAAAGCAAGTGGTTGCTATTTTAGGGAGGAGCCGAACATGAGCCTAAATATGATTGTATCTAAGTTCAGATACTACACCCAACTCCACAGTATCCAACAGACTTTTTCCTGGACCAAGAGTAATCTTAGGACTAACTGAATTCTTCAGTGCTTTGGCTTGCAATGACTCTAGTGACATTCCATTTAAAAAATGTTGCAATTGTGCTCAGAATATTTTTTTCAAATACTCATACTATCATAAACAGATTCATATATATTTTTCAACTCCTCAGCAATCTCCGAGTGGGGCATTTAATTCTAGACATGTGGGTCAATAAGAGCATCTAACCCTAATTACAATTGATTAGTCATTGTCTCATCTGCTGTAGACCCAAACAGTGATATTCATTTAGCCTCTACATGTATATTCAATCATACACTAATGAGATCCCTAAGGGAATTTGGCATATGCTTTACTAGTTTGACTTCTGACCTGCTAGCAGCTGTATATTTATACTTTGCATTCAACCATTCAGCTGCATGTTTTTTCAATTATACCTTACCATGTGTATGCTATCAGAGAATATCATTCAAAATGAAGTACACTTGGAAGACATTAAAATAACTAATTCACATCATTATTCACGTACTTTAAAATGTACTTTATGTGTCTTCCTGGACCTGAATTATGATAATTTTGAGGTCACCATCATTTATTCCTCCTTGTTGTAAAAGTGGCCCTGTTTTCTACATCCCTGAAGACTGCACTATAAGCAGTACATGCTAAGGACAAAGTCATTTTATTTCCAGTCTAAATCACGGCTTGACTGTTGGGAAGAAAAAGAAAAGAAAGCTTCACTCAACCACAGACCTACCCGACATCCCAGCTTCTATCTGATCTCCATCCTGCTTGATTACTCTCGCAAGCATTAGCCATTCGTGCAGCTCTGACGGAACACAAGGTCTGCACAAACGAGGCTGAAGTTCAGCCAAATATGCTTAAGACCCACATGGCCTTGGAATTACACTTTTTTTTTTCACACCTTTTACTTTTTTTTTCTACACACAGGCATGGGTTCAAGGCACTACATTTGGACTGAGTGACTGGCAAAATCCTTCAAATGCTTGCCAGTTCCAATTTCTACCATGTTTGTGTTATACATAGCACTACACCATCAGCTCTCTGGAGCTTTTTCTATTCAGTTCTACGAGAAGGTACCAGTAGCAGCTGGATCTGACTTACTCAGTTCTACGAGAAGGTACCAGTAGCAGCCGGATCTGACTTAGAGTTGAGCACAAGCTATTGCTATTAAAAAGGAACTATGCTGAAAGTGGAGAATAAGAAATCAATGCAGGTTTGCCTTATTGCTATTAAAAAGGAACTATGCTGAAAATGGAGAATAAGCAATCAATGCAGGTTTGCCCAGAGTTACATTCATATTTGGGACATAACTTCAGAAAGCAACAAGAGGTTGGTATTTAATCTGTTCAGGAATCCTGGAAGATGCCAGCAGGTATCTTTCAGGAAAAAAATCTAAGCATTTTATATTTCTAAATCTAAAAAAAAAGGGCTCTAAAACATCTAGCGGTACAGAGAACTGCCAAATATGATTATTATATTCTGCTTGAAAGATTCCAGAATTTCTGATCAATACTGTGTGTGTAACTTCAACGCTTTTTTTCAGGAAACATCTCTGTAGATTGGGAAATGGCATTGAGAAGTACAGGAAAGGAAATTCTCTCCTAAAACATAGCACTTCACAAAGCGCCAAAGGGCATATCATCTTTGCTGTTAGATACTTTTTTCCTCCAGAAAATTAGAAACTGTGTTTCTAGGAAACAGAAGTATTTAAACTTTAAAGCACAAATGATCGTATTATTTTTTATTTCCTACTCTAGCCTACCTATACAGGATTTAACGTACCAGTGATGGCTAGATGTCAGACCTACACAATATATATATTGAAAAGCAAAAGTGCTATATACACAGTAATTTTTGCAACTCACTGAATTGCATGAAAAAAAACAAGTTTTGTTGCTCATAGAGTAGACCAAATGCTAAATTTACAGCTGTTCAGAAAATCCTCATGTAATTCAACCCTCTCCACTTCCAGTAAAAGAAGGAAAAAGAGAACATAGGAATAGTACTGGGAGAGTTGCACAAGACTGGTCTTTAGCACAAGTGGTCAGCAGGAGCTGGTTTCTGGCAAGTCTGTCGAAGCTGCTTGTGCCCTAACAAGTTACCACAAATTACTGAAACAGTGATAAATGCAGCTTGCAAACCCTTGCTCCTGGTGTAGGCAAAGGAACAGAAGTCTGCACAGTGAAGCTTCTGACATCAGCTGCACAGCAGGCAGTTTGCCATTGCCAGACCTAAATATGAGCAGCGTTAGGAGTCTGGGAGAGAGGAAAGACAGGTTTAGGAAAGCAGAAATAGGTGATAGGCAGCAGCAAGAACGAGGCACAGACCTGTGACCTCAGATGTTATTTTTTAACGATCCACACATGCATGTTTTTTTGTCACTACAAAACCAGCTTAACTCTTCACAGTGTTGCACCTAGCATGGGAAGTAAGGGTAATATGCAATTGCACATCTGAGTATGGAATTCTCATTTTGTTTTCTTTCGATGCCTATTTGCAATGGCTGACCAGGTATAAATTCCTACATTCACACAGAGAATATACTAAATACAATAAACCAGATTCTCTGAAATATTCTGCTGAGATTTCCAGGCAAATTATCATCATCACCAACAATCCCCCAAAACAAGACACTATGTTCTTATCAAGTATATGACTTCATGTAAGTAAACACATAATCCAAAGTTTGGGCCAACACTGTTCACTAAAAAAATGCCTCACACTTGTATAGCTACTGCTATAGTGCCTACGATGAGGCTGAAGCTTGTGCTCCATGTGTAGAAAGAAATGAAGAAATAAGGAGAACTCTGTTCAAATTGCAGAGTTCCTGATTTTTGTTTGTTCAAATTAAATTCTTTAAATTTAACAAATATTTAAGAAGGACAGGGAGAAAGGGGACAGGGGGAATTAATAAGATATTTGTTTACTCAATGTATAGCTATCTAAATATTTCATTAGGAGAGTAATATCTGTAAAGCATTATAAAAATACCATGGAGCAAATTAACTCTGTAAAATATTATCATCCAAAGTTATGACACCATACACTCAGACAACATGGACTTCTCTTCCTGATATTCTGTATTTAATGCTCTATTCACATCACAATCCAAGCTTTTTGCACTACGAAATTAGTTGTGGTCAGTCAGTTCAGTATCAGATCTAGTACAGACAAGTAGGCTACTCTATACTCATTTTTCCAAAAAAAAAAACCAAAACGGTTTATTCTGGCATTACAGACTAAACTGATTGTTTGTCTTATGCTTGTGCCTTATATGGGGGCACCGGAAAAATGTCCTGGAAGCCAAAATTTTAGAAAAAAACCCTAATCAATCCTTACTCCCAACACACCAGATGCATTTATTTCCTGATTTCCTTTTTTAAAGAACAACAAAGAGAATTCTAGGAAGTATGAATCTATTTCATATTCAATGAAGTCCAATACATTTCTGGGAATCCTGGTGAAGTTCTTAACAAACAAGCAAGGCATTGGGCACTACAAAGCATTGAAGGGTCATCCAGATAAACCAGGTAGCTTTATCCCCCTAGAGAGAACTGCAAATAACTGTATAACTGCATGTGCTTAATACATCTATCAGGACTAGCCCTTGCCTTTTAGACCAGAGCGATAAACTGAAGATAAAATGTCAGGTTTGCCATTTTTTTCTTTAAAAAAGAAATTAAAAGAGAATCAAATTTTCATCCATTGTGCCTAACTTCAGCTAAGACGTCTCTGGGAGTGACGTGGACCATCTTAAAAGGAATCCAAGCCAGAATAGCTTGAGAAAGTCCAGTTCTAACAGAAGTGTCTGGACTGTCTTCATCCACTTCTAAAGCAGACCACACTGAAATTCCACATCGCACACAGCCTCCTGCTCAAGGAACCCTGGAGTTACCTCCAATTCACTCCTACGTCTTAAGATCTGTCTGAAAACTCATCCTGGGTTTCTCTGTTCTATTTCTGCTGCCATGCAGGAGGTTTTCATACAGCGGCTACACCTTCCTTTAGATGACTGCTCCAAAAATATTGAGTAATATATTCCTAATTAAGCTACATCTCATCCTTGGAGCTTAATAGTGTCACCTACAAATTAAGACACATCATCAGCCTAAGGCATAAAGGTCTGCTGAACAGGGCTGATGCTATGGTATCAAGAAATACCCTGGGCTGGATATAAAAGAAGCTGAAAAGCAGAAAGTTAATATCTCCACTTAGATACACCGAAGGTATGTGAGGGGAGTTTAAAGCTTTCATCTTTGAGCAATTACCTGGCAAGCCTTTGTAAATACTTCCAATCCACTATCAGACTGTTAATTCCCCTGTTTCAGAATAAGGATACAGCAGTGCAATTCTGCACTGCTGGGAATACACTTTATCATCAATTTGTAAGGCAGGTATGTGATAAAGGAATAAGAACACTGACCTGGCTGCAGCTTTCGACTGTAATTCTGGGAAAGCAACATGGCCTCGGACCACATGATCTATCTGAAAAAGAGGAAAGCAACAGTTTGGGGATGATTACATCTTAAAAATTCAGTCCCAGGAAAGGTTAATGCAGTGTCATAACTTTAAAAAGACAAGAGAGCTTCTAAATTACTCATGAGGTGTTAAGTCCTAGTCCTAGTGAAGCCAATGGCAAAACTCCCGCTGACATTACTGGATTCAGGATTTGGCTTAAAAACAGCAAGAAAAAACAATCAATGCTGCACCAAAAATAGGCAAAATGCTAAGCATGCAGCTCCTCAGTCAGAAGAGCAAGCTGAAAGGATGACTTTTTTCCTGTCCAACACTATCTGAGGGCATGTCCTCTAGTCTCTCCCATTCTCTCACATGCATACCCTCATTGGAATTCTACCAGGAGCATCTTCTTGGCCCAAATCCCTATCTCTTTCTGTACAACACTGTCCTAATAAAACACAAGGTATGTTGTCATCCTGATAGATGCTCCATATGTTCACTGCAGGAAACAAAATGTATACCCTGACAAGAAGTTATTGCTATAAAAAAAGATCAATATAGGCTCTGTCTTATACTAAATTTATAAATCAGCTTGTCCTTTCACTCCAGAGTGGCTACCATTATTCACGAAACAAAGTATCAGGCAGAATAACATGGGCTTTTAAGACAATAATTCAGCAGGTTTTGTAGCCTCGATAATATCCCATCAGAGGTGACAGTAAAAGCTAAGGAGGCAAAACTAGAGCTACTCAAGAGCACTGAGTATGTTTGGCAATACCTACTGGCAGCAAACCACATCAGGTATTTAATTTTTAACAGCATCAGTCTAGTCCTTAACCAGTGTAGGAATACATATCATGAAGCATACACATGTGAACGTAGCAATAAAAAGAATGCATGCCTGTTCTTTCTGAGATTTGCATCAAAGACAAAACTCAAACATGTGCACACATTAGAAACAAAGCTCAGGCTTGAATTTTGCAACCTTGCATAATCTCTTTAGAACACAGGAGCAGCTCACACATTCAGAAATAAATCTATAAACAAATATGACATAAACATGTGTGCTATGAAAACACTTCACACAAAAATGTTACAGAAGTTGTGAAGTTAGATATTTAAATGCCCTCAATTCAAGACATGGCCACATGAGGGTTGCATCTAGAAACCCTTTTCTGCTATTCTTTATTTTACAGCTTGTAATGATGTCATTCCATGCTTTGTCTCTGTTGTGCAATATCTTTCTTCCTATAAATTTTGAAAATTCAGTGCAAAATCCCATCTAATACACAAACAAATAAGCTTCTTCAAAATAAGTGGAGTTCTTAATTCTTCACTTGGACTCTATCTGAACCAGTTTTCAAAATCCAACAGACTTTTCTCACAGCTGTATCAATAAAAAAATTAATTACAGATTTTTTAAAGGGAAGTGTATCAGTTTTAAGAAGTTCAACAGACTGTTCAAATTTCATGAAAAGAATTCACCTTTGGGCATAGATCAAGCAATTAAAAGAATCCCAAAACACGTTCATTTTTTGTTTTGTTTTCAGAAAGCTTGAAGTATGAGAAAGCGGGATCTTAAAAAGACTACAGCTTTAAAACTACAAAGATAATGAATGCAACCTATCCTCCACACACTGCACATAGGCTGTTTCCTCCTATGGCTCCCTATGAGCTCTGTACACACAACCTCAAGAAAACCACATGAGATATTCTAAGAATGTTCTAATAAGACAGCTTCCCTAATATACCAAACAGTACATAGGGCTGATTTTTGCTATGGGTCCTAACAAGACCATACATTTTTTCCAGCAATTTCTTTAATTACTCAGGAATGTCTTGTTCTCTGGTACTAGAATGGAAAGGATTTTTAAAATAATCTTTCTGAAATGTCCTAACTCTCATGGTACATTTAAAGCATGGAACCACCCTGAGCCAGCCAAGAAAAAACACTGACTTGCTGTATCTTCTCTAGAGCTTAGTTAAGTGTCTTTACCCGCTTTGGATTAAACACATAGAGACTTCTCTCAAAAGTGTTCATACAGAGAAATGCACAAGATGTGCCATTTTCCATTTAAAGTGGTGGTGTTATGAGTAGTAATTTAATTTTACTTCTGGTTGTAACAGTATAAAACGGGACACTTTCGTTCTAGCCCCATCTTGACCTGAAAAATTTAAAGCACACACATCCCACCTGCTGCGAGAGTGCTGTAGCCACGAGGCTAAGGATGGGATGGAGGTGGGATGGGAAGTGGAGGCTGCAGGAGATGAAGAGGGATGAGTCTCCCACAGAAGCTGTGCCACTGTACAGAGACGAATGTCAGATTCACGTGGCCAAGGAGAGAGCACAGGAGGGAACACCGACTCATAGCTCAGCGCTTAGGGTGTGTCTGGGCTTCCTGACCCAGGATTATTTCTGTTTCTCATTCAGTGACTGTTCCATATGGAATGTATAAATGCAGTGATGTCCCAATCTACTACTTCCTGGACATGTACTCCCACCACTAGGCTTTTAAAAAGGTGGGTGGCGCTAGGTCTGAGTAAGAGAGCAATTATGCCTGCAATTTGTGAAAGACCAAACCCACCTGTATGTTTGGTGAGCTTACAGAACATACCCACGGGACCGGGGTCACCTCCTGTAGCTTCTCAAGAAGAACTTGGCACCTCACCCCTAAGGGCAGTCAGTATTTCTACAGACTGAGCAGAGAGACATAGGGAGCTTTAGAAGCTTCCAGGGTTAAGGTCTTGCTGACACTTTTGGACTCAAGCCTAAATGTTGTTTTATACATCTAGCCTTTCTTTAAATTTGACATCGGTGTTTTAGTTCTGACTGCCTCCCTGTAAAGAAGAAAATTCTTTTTTACAGAATCCAGTCTGGTTTTAGTTTTTCTTGATAAATTAAATTAACCTAATACAGTTAGACTCTTTGCACTCAAGGAAAGAACCGAGGTGACAACATATGCAGTATCTATCTAGACAGGATAACATGTTAATATATTACTACTCTGTCCCTACAATACATCTTTCATTTATGCCCATCAATGAGCACAATTGTTCTACATAACATAACATGTACCATTTTCTATCTCAGCCTCCTGCTAAAGTAATGAATGCCTATTGGCCTGTAAAATAATTACAATAATCATCACCATTATCATAAAAGGAAGACATGCCCTTAGTGCTCTGCCCCATATATAATCCCCTATCAGTATGTAAGCAAAGTTTGTAAGAGACAGCGATCAACTAATTGTTCATTGCTTTCAGCAGCATGGTACCTCCTATGATCTTACAGAGATTTTTCAGGCAGAGCTCTGCCTGAGTTGATGAAGAAGCTATCCTGAATGACAGCAGTTATGGCAGACCTCCCATCTCGGAGTCTGTTTGTTTCTCCAAACGCTTACCAGTTTTCCTGTAGCACTTTGACCTCCCTCATTCAACCACAATCCAGGTACCATTGCAGAGAAATAAGGTCCCCAAACACCAGGCACAAAAATGGGTGTTTCACTGACCTGGAAAGAAGAGAAAGAGAAAGAGAAAGCTCTAGTGAATCAAACTACTTGTCAAAATAGGTACTTCACAACTAATGGCTGGCAGCTATCAGAGTCCAATACTGAAAACGATTCCTGCTCCTCCACTGGAGTCACCAACATGAGCAGAGATGTACAGGTAGAGATTTACTCTAAGGAGAATGTGGAGAAATACGTCCCCCATTTGCATCACTTTTAGGTGACATGACACAGCCACAGCTACTGATTGCACAACTGCCTCCACTCACTCCCTTTTACAGAACAGCTGGATCTGGCCATGCAGAAAGTCAGAAATTTCAGGAGCAGGAGCTGTATTTTACAGGGAGAGAGAAACTGCCTCGTTTCTCCAGAAAAACACCTTACTTAGAATGAAGAGTTGGATACAACAGTCTGCTTGACTGTCATCAGAAAATAAGGCCAATGTAATGGGCAACCGGTGTTTCCAGAGCACTCATCCTGTGTGTTTTCAGAGTTAAGAATCAAGAGGGAATCCTGCTGACAGAGGACGGTGAGGTCCCTCAAGATCTGCCATCAACTCCCAAGGCCTGCAGTGGAACCCCAAGCTCCAGTGCTCCCACAGCACTGTCAGGAGAGTTAGGTGCCTTGGGTGGAAGCTGCAAACCTGGGCTGGGTGAACGGGGATTTGCTTGTGTCAGCCAACAGGAAACATTTGCCTAGGTAAATATGAGATTCTGCCCCTTACTTAGGCTTAGTTTTACACAAACCATCCCGTCCTTCGCACTTGTGAGCCCTTTCATCAAGGCAGATAGCTAAGCACTATCTTCCAGAAACCAAACAGGACTGTAATTCTACCCCTTGCATACAAACATACCACCCCCATATACAGTGATATCCTGCTTCTATGCAATATTTTAGTGGTTAGACCACTCAGGATGTGGGAGACGCTGGTTCATTTCCTTTCTCTGCTTCAGAAGATGCAAATTATCAGGTCATAAGGGTGGAGGGCATTTTCCTTCCTCTTATAAAGCTGTTCTACTTTCAATAGACTAGATAGACTTTCTACACTTTCCTTCTGGTTCAGAAAGAAAGCCTGAGGAGGTACGCTATCTGGTCTAGCAAGTAAGGCGCAGCACATGATGGGGAATGGGCAGTGGAACTTGGGTCCTAGTACTTGCTACAAAGACCAGTTACGTATTCTGCACTGGTTGAACAAACATAATTCTTGCAGTGGGGGCTGGAGAAGACAGGTCATCCATCCCTTGGCAGGCTACCTGCTTCTCTTGGAAGCACGACTCATGTTTTCTCTTCCAGGACCAACAGAAGTATATACATTTGAGGTATACGCAGCCATGATTTCACTGGGAAAAGAGTATGGCAGTGCAGTCCTACACCACCATGCGATGTGTGAATGCACTTCCCACTAATCTCTGTTAATGGCATGGCTAAATCTGTAACTGTTGCTCTCTAGAAGGTGGGAAGTGCTCCAAGAGGAGGAAACGAGAGTTCCCTAACAAAATAAGTCTGTATGTTTGCAATGCTGGAATAGCAAAAAAGAGAGGTCTTTTGGGACAATGGGACAATGTTTTTTTGTATTTAGAACTTGCTCTTCATTAGCAAAATTCTAGGCCCATTGAAGGATGCTGAAGGTTTGCTATTGATTTCAACAAGGCCCGGACTTCACATCAAAATAGTTTTGAGGAGGAGTAATTAAAAATTCAGCGCTGTTCCTGTTAAACTTGATGCACATTCTCCCTGTATTTAAGCAGGCCAAACTTTAAAGACAGTTTTTGTTAGCAAGTAGGGAATATGCTCCAAGATGCAGTTTACTGGCATTTGTGCATCACACATGTTTAGTAAATACACCAGCAGGGAGGTTTCTACACAAACAATAGTCTGCTCAAGCCATAAACTTACATTACAGCTGATTCTTGTCATGAAGCTAAGTAGGAAAACAAAACAACAAAAACTGGTTTCTCAAAAGACATTACTACAGTGTCAAGCGATCCTGATTTCTCTTAGGAACGCATCTAACAAATACAAAAATCTTGCCTAGTTCTCCCCTATCAGCTCCAATGCCCTGACTTACTTTCGCTAAAGATGTATGCGTGCACATGTGTCTGTGTGTCTGCGTAAGATTTTGGCTGACTAAACCCGTTAAAGAGCAAGAATAGCTGCACCGAATTTAAAAAGGCATTTATGACTCCAAGTGGACAAAGCTACGTCAAAAACATTGCAAAGACATTTGGTTTTGTTTTGTTTTCTCTTAAAACTACAAATTAATACAGCTTTGAGTTTTCAACACCTCTATGGGGCAAGCCTTCTTTTAAAATGTCAATAACAAAATGAAGTGCAACAGAAAGCAAATCCTAAAATAACCTGATTTTTAGACCAATTCCACATCACTGACCTTACTGAGAACACAGAATACGGTAAAAATTCCCAGTTAGTATCTGCTCCGAACCAGTGATGGAAGCATGCTAGACGTCCTGTCTCGTTCCCATCCTATAGCTGTGGACGCAACATGTGTCTCTACTGGTGGGAAGGAACAGTTAGGGCAGAAGAGGCCTGTTTTTTTGACGTCTCAAAATATTTTTGATGCAGCAAACCTTGCAGTACTCTGTACTCTACTGTGATTTCTGAAGGAAGAATCTAGCTACACCAGATGTATCAAGCTTAAAAACCAACTGTTGTGTAGTCTGAAGAAACCAAATAGTCTAAGGATATTAAAGGCACAAAGGTGCTTTGTGAAATCAGGGGAAGTTCTAAACACCAAGAAGGACAATATAGTTTAAAAAAACAAAAAAAAAAAAAACCAAACAAACAAAAAAAAAAAACACAAAAAACCAAAAACCTTTTCTTCTATCATTAGCCCACAATTTACCAAATTGTCCTCTATGATAATACTAAAAGGTTTAGATTGGTTAAAAGACCAAACTCTCCCTGGAGCCAGTACTTCTGGCCTAGTATTTTAGATATCCACAGGAATTTGCCAGGACAGGAAAGATATTTCTGTGCTGGTTCTTCTCAAATTACATTGAGACTTCCCTAACATCTTACTATTGGAGTACCATTTGTACGCATTCCAGCAAACTTTCAACACATAAACAGAGCAAATGAGGGAGCTGCGTATCACTACACCAATGAATATAGCCAGTGAGGTATTAGGTTATCATTTTTTTCTGCTGTGGGAACTTTTAACTGGAATAAAGAACACTGGCTATCATGCTGGGCTTTACTGATGCCACGTATGGCATCATCAGATTTCCTATTTCCTCCTTCCATTTGAAGAGTTTAACTCACATTTTGCAGAGTCTAGGGTTTGATGCACGTGGAAAGTGAGAAAATTGGGAAATAAAATACTCCTGAAAACAGACACACAATCTTTGAGAAGCAAAAGGGTGAACGTTCTTCCATAGATATACGCATAAGGAATAGCAAATGGTTTCCACTTCCCCTCCTTGAAATATCTGGACAATGCTTAAGTTTTTCAAGCCAGGCAGCAGCTGGCATCTGTATTTTCATAATAAAAAGCCCAAATTCTGTTTGACTATACGTACCATCCAATCTCACTAAAACACATGACTAGACATAAGTGTAAGGCTGGGAAATGGTGCAAAGTTTGCTGCGGAATCCAGATGATAAGCACAATTTGTGAGACTTGGAGCTATTTTTGTTACACTAATACCATGTCCTTTTCATAGCCTTCTATTGCCTTCAGACACTCTTATGACGATACTGGAGGATCAATGTGGTGTCATTATTTTTTTTCCTTTAATGAGCTTAAGAAAATCCTTAATCTTTTTAGTAGAAAAACAACATCTGTTTTAGATTTATGGGCAACTGATTTTTATTTTTAAAGCAAATAAGAGATGTCATCCTTCTTTGAAAGTTAAAATATCAATTCAAAAGGAGCCTCAGATTTTCTGCCTTCTATTTAACTTAAATTCATCCTGTGACACACTCTTACTGTGAGGCATATTAACGTTTATTATTTTTTACATGTAGTGAAACTGAAACACAGAGAGGATATCCTCTGCTAGACATTAGAATCATTTCTGCACAATAGGAATTTGAAGATGGGAGATGAGAAGAATCTGAACCTATTCACACTTTGAGTCATAAGCAGCATCTATAAATATTTCAGTTGAACATATTCACACAGAGACTATTGCCCTCATCTGTGATGATGCTTACTTATGAAGTATTATACTCAGACAAGCAAGTCCACCTCACAGTTATTCTATCTGTGCATGGGGAAGAATCCTTTTGTGCAGGAAAATGTCACCTTTCCACATCTCCCCAACACACACATTCCTACTTGCTCAGCCTGTCATTTCAGATGAGATGAGCATTAAGCGGTTCCAAGATTCCTCCTCATTTGAAGGGAAAAAGAGTTCAACACCTTCTGAAAGGGAGAAGGGGAAAAAAGTTCTGTCTGGGAGGATTTAACCTCACTGTGTGCTTTATAAAAGATCATACTAATATGTAAGATATGTAAACATTATAGAGCAATCAGAAACAAATGAAATGATGAATTCAGTTTAACAATATTCAGCTGTGGTGCAACTGCCAGAAGGCACTTTTTGTTATGAATAGATCATTTGGATGAGTTACAGACCAGATTTCAACCCTGGCGTATGCTAGGAAAGTCAATGTCAAACTATCCAAGATCAGAAGGTATCAGCAGTACATCTGGCAGCCCACAGAAATGAAAAATATCTTTAAAATATATAATGCTATAGAAAACTAAGCTAAAGTATGAAAGGACCTGCTTAAATGGCACTAATGTGAGATCTGTAATGTATTTAATTTAGTTTAGCCCTTCCTACTTGCCCCTCCTTCCAGAACAAAAACAGGCAAAAAAATCCACCTCTGCTGTAAAAGTCTACAAGGAAAGAAAGCACTATTTACCACTTAAAGGCTAACTTACAGTTCATGTAAGTGAATCAGAGGAGTCAGTGCCTTTAATCCAAACTAAGTTCAGCTTTCAGGACTGTCATTTGGTACAAGGAGTGGAACAG